GGGGGGGGCCTCCTGCTGGAGATCGTGAGCTCCCCGCTCAACCTCAGCCTGCTGGGCCTCTGCCTCTTCCTCCTCTACCAGATCGTCCGCGGCGACCGGGCCCGCGCCCAGCCCGACGGCGAGGAGGAGGGGGACGCGCCGCCCGCCTTGCCCAAGCTCAAGCGCCGCGACTTCACCCCCGCAGAGCTGCGCCCCTTCGACGGCATCCAGAACCCGCGCATCCTCATGGCCGTCAACGGGAAGGTCTTCGACGTGACCCGCGGCAGGAAGTTCTACGGACCCGGTGAGAGAGAGAGAGAGACCCCCCTACCCCGGGGCGGGGGGGTCTCTCCTTGGAGCCCCCGTTGCAACGCTTATGTCGCCCTCTTGGGAGCCCTTTCTGCCCCCCCTCCTTGTAAGGTAGCCCAGGACCCTTTTTAGGTCGTCGGGAAGAACTTGGGGTTTTTTTTGGGGGGAGAGCTGCCTGGGCACCCTGACAAACCCCTCTCCTTGCCCAGCCCTTTGGATCGTTTGGGCTACAGCCCCCATCATCCCTCCCAGCTAGTTGCAAGAGTGGGACTTGTAGTCCTCTGGACGGGTGCAGGCCCTCGGTGCCCTTGGCTGAGAAGTTGGTACAGAGTTCAGTGTGGGGCTGACTTCCAAGGAGGCGTCCATAGGTGGGGTCGGTTCGGAGGGAAGCACCATTTTGTTTCCCACAGTTAATCCCTCCTGTTGGCTCTGGAAAGCTTGCAAGCGACTTTAAGGCGGACAGGATCCCCTTCCAGTGCATAGGGCCCAGAAGCTGGAAGTAAAAAGCCCACCACCTCGGAAGCACAGGGATGAGATTTGGGGGGGGGTCAAGGGCGTGAGTTCTGGAGCTTGATCTCAGCCCCCCTCCGGGCAGCCCTCCCACGGATTGCACTGCAGCTGGCTTTCAGGTTGAAGGAACTGCCCTTCAAACCTGCAGTGCCACCCACGTAAATAGACAAGAGGATTACAACTTTCACCACTAGGCTTTATTGCCCTTTAATAATCGCAGATAACCGCAGCGGTTACTACATTTCTACTATAGATTGGAAATTATGTTCAACGGGGCAGTGATTGAGCTGGGAAATACCTACCTTTCCCAAATGTGGATCAACATTTGGATGTTACTTTCGGTACGTAGATGTGTGTATGCCCTCAAGTCGATCCCAACATATGGCAACCCTTCCCAGGGCTTTCCAGGTAGAGAGAATACTCAGAAGTGGCTTCCTGTGCCCTTCTTCTGGGGCCCTTCTGGGACGGTGCAGCTGGCCCAAGGCCACCCGGGCTGGCTCTACCTACTCCAAGGAGGCACCCTGTGGAATCAAACCCTCAACCTTCTGGCTTCACAGCCAAGAGACCCAAACCAACTATAAATGAGCAAAATAAGCATGGCTTTGAGTTCTCCAAAATTCTTCACCAACCTAGATGATTTTTTTAAAAAAAAGAGGTGGAGGAAAGGGCATGTTGTTATCTTTTCTTTATAAAGAAAGGGAACTTCCCTTGCATGTCCTTCCCAGAGAGCTGTCACAGGTTATGTGATACTGAACAGCATTCCAGCCTTCTAACCTGGGACGCAATACTATAACAAAGAAGTTAACACGTGTTCTTCCCGTTTTCTAGGCTGGGGGTGGAGGAGAGACGTATAGATCTTGAATGAACGATGGAGTTGTGTAATTTGGAATATTCCCAGAAACGAGAATTGGGAACGAACATTGGCAGCGATCCATAGGGCAGTTATTTTTTCCACTGCATCTATTGCTCAGCCCTCATCCACTTTGTTTCCCTGCCCAACCAGCCAGTCTGGTATTGTAAAGGGATTATTCTCCCCNCCCCCCCCCCCGCAGGCATTGAAAGGAGGAGGGGGCTGCCAAACAGCCTTTGTCTGTGGCCCAGCCTTTCCCCGGGGAACCAGCCCTGCTGCTTTGAGCCTTGCTTTGCCTGGAATCTGTGTAGGAGGAAGCGAGAGGCTAGGCCCAAGGAGCAGAAGCCCAATTTTCTATTCTCAGCATTAGGTAAACTTAGCATTAGGCAAGCAGGCAGAGACCTTTCTCTTCAAGCGAGCATTCCCTTGATGAGTGAGGTTCTGAAATGGATGGTTATGCCTTACTGCTTTGAATGTGTTTCAATGTTGCTTCTGTTTATCATCTTCTAGTGTGGTGTTTGTTTGATCCTTTGTTAGTATTTGTATACTTACTATTTTTTAGCTTTAAATATTGGCTTTTGATGATGTAAGCTGCCTTGGGTCCTTCTTAAGGAGAAAGGGGCAGTAAAAAAAAAACATTTTAAATAAACAAACAAACAAAACAAACTCAAAGGCCAGAACAGGAAAGTCTGCGGTACAGTCACAGGATAGAGAGACCCTTGTGTGAAAACCCAGTTTCTCTTGCGTAGCTTTGGATGGTGACTTTATTAGCCTACTATAAGAGAAATGAGAAATAATAACTACTGCTGTCAGCCATTATATCACCTTCATTTCCTAAGATCCTTGGGCTGAATCGCACAAATATAATGGGAGTATTCCTAGCCCTTTCTTAACTACTGAGGAGTGATTTGCACAGGTGTTGCGTAGCTGGGCTTGGAGGGTTGAAGATCTGGGACCTTCCGAGTAGCAAGGACCCTGACATCATCTGCCACCCCCCTCCACAGCCTTCTCGCTGAGCTTAGCTACAATTCTCCTGGTAGCTGGAGGAGAAATGGCTTTCTCCAGGAAGAGCATATCATTGCTAGCTATCTGTGTTGCAGTATAGAATATTTAAGGATAGTGAAAGGCGATGGATTTATACGATCTGAAGAGAAATCAGAGTGCTCTTGAGTGAGCAACAAAGAGCCATTTCTTCTATAAAAGACCTGCTCAGTGTTTGGTATGCACCAATCCAGCAACTTGAATGTTGGATTACTCATACAGAGATAAAAGTAGATATATCTGATAAATGTTGGAGGAACTGTGGACAAAAGGGAACTCTGGAACATATGTGGATCTCTTGTCCCAAAATAGAAACTTTTTGGCTAGAGGTAATTAAATGGATAGAAACACTGACTAATCAAAAAAAATAGAGATTAATGAAACATGATTGTTATTTTCATTATTCACAGGGGGAAATGAGAAACTACAATATAAAGAATTAGTTGCAAATCTTATAGGCACCGCAAGATCCGAAATAGCTAAAAATTGGAAAAAAGCCCAAGATCTCTCACTGCAAGCATTCACAAGTAAAATATGGCATACATTGCTGATGGAAAAAAAATGACTAATAAAGTTAGAGTACATAGAGGAGAAATAAGCCATAGCAAATTAACAGAAAATTGGAAGCCATTATTAAAATATGCCGATAAAATAGACTTTGAGACATGTGGTTTGAAAAGAGACTTAGATTGTTGGTCAGTATTTCTTTAAAAGGTGATGGGGAAAGGTATATACAGTATGTGATTTGGAGAAATGTGGGGAATAGTTTTGTATTTAATATTTGCAATATGGTTGATTGCCTTTTCATTGTTTAGAAATAAATAAATTTAAAAATATTTTTTTTAAAAAAACCCGTACAGAGATAAAAGTTACCACTGGACTGCTGGCAATTTGTAGAGGAAGTTAGGAGAGGTGGCTTTATCCTTCTTCCATCGTATTCTCTCCCGTGTGTTGCAATAGTCCAAAGGAACACATAGCTGGACATTTTGGGGGGAACAGAAGCAGAGAGGAAAAGCACCAGGTGGGGAGCTGTTTTGTCGGAAATGGGAAATACTTTTTGCTGTGAGATTCTGGGAATTGAAGCCCCCCCCCAAAAAAAAAAACCCCAGCAATTTTCCATGTCTGGATTTAAGCCCAATCTTATTTCCCTTCTTTCCTGCACTACTTCTCTGCTGCAAATCAGCCCCCTGCAATGCCACTTTGCAGCTGAAGAAGTAACTACTGGTGTTTCCCCAACACATAGCGCTCTTAAGGTAGCACAGGAGGAAGTTTCTCCAGCTTTGTGCTCGCAAGAAACCTGCAAAGGTAGATTAGGCTGAAAGAAAGACTAGACCACTGTAACACACTCTACATGGGGCTACCTTTGAGGCTGATGCGGAAACTTCAGGTGGTGCAGAATGCAGCGGCCAAACTCCTTACCGGAGTGAGAAAACACCAACATATTTCTCCTGTTCTGGCCAAACTGCATTGGCTGCCCATCCGTTTCCGCATTGACTTCAAAGTTCTAATGCTTACCTATAAGGCCCTAAACGGTTTAGGACCTCGATACTTGGCGGAGCCAAGATCTACTCGGATCACCCGCATGAGTCAGGAGGTGAGGCTGAGGAGCCTGACACCGAGGGAGGCCCGGAGGGAAAAGACACGAAGCCGACCCTTCTCGTCGGTGGCTCCTCGCCTTTGGAACAACCTTCCTCCAGGCCTTCCCTCCTGTCAACTACTGATTTCTTTTGCTTTGCTATTTATTATTTATTTATTCCTGCACTATTTATTATTGTTGTGTGCTAATGTTTTTATGTTTTTTAATTGTTTTTGATATTCTGTAAGCCGCCCAGAGTGGTAGAATATACCAGATGGGCAGGATATAAATCGAACAAATAAAATAAAATAAAAAAATAAATAAAAGAAAGGGACCACCAGCCTGGGGACATCTAGTAGGGTTCTGTGTCTTGTTTTTGGCAGAGTGAAAATTTCAGGAATTCCCAGCACAAATGAAATGCATTACACTGGTATAGAAAAGTTTCCAAATTATTTTTTCCATTTTTCTATAAACTCTGAATTCTTACTGCTTCTCAAATTCAAAGAAGCCAAGTGACCCTTAAAAAATTCTGCAAAAGTACAGTACTGTTCAGCAGCTGTTTTTTGCAACCCCCTTGTTTCTGTTTCCTTATATCCCCCCTTGCCTCGGCAACACCATATTACAGTTCCAGTGCCCCCCTAATCCCCATAAATGCATCTCATGTTGCTGTGCTTGATGGTATCTTGGTGACTCTTACCTAAACTGGTGACCCAGAGATTACCTGAACTGGTTTATCTTGCAGTTGTTCTCAAACTTAGGTTCACAGATGTTCTTGGACTACAACTCCCAGAAATCTTGGCCTGCACAGCTATTGATGCAGGCTGCTGGGAGTTGCAGTCCAAGAACATCTAGGGACCTACGGTTGAGAACAACTGCAAGATAAACAGTTCAGGTAAGAGGGGCTTGGCAGTGATGGTCTTGCAGGGGGCGAGTGAAGCTTACTTGGTGGGCCTCCTTGAAGACATCAGTCTCTGTGGGTCACCACTTAAGCAGACCTAAGGCTCTGGAGTCTGATCATCTGAAAAATCCAATATTTTATACTTTTTAAAAGATGTTTCTAGCTCCCGTGATAAAAAAGAATACCTGTCGTGACCAGAGCACAGAGTGCTACTCCTGTCCTCTGAAGATGCCGGCCACAGAGACTGGCGAAACGTTAGGAAGAACAACCTTCAGAACACGGCCAAAGAGCCTGGAAAACCCACAACAACCAGTAACTTATCCGTTATTTTATTTAAAATATTTTTACCCCAACTTTCTCCCTAAAAGGACCCAAACTGGATACAGCAGGACTTAATGTCTGTTAAGGAAACAACTTGGAGGGTGTAAGAATTTTTAAATGTATAGAATTCCTGAGCTCTAACAAACTATTTGGAGGAATCAGAGAGCAAAATGAGGGTGAAAAGTTACTAATTTACTTTAGACAGCGGGAGAGTAAAGTCCTTGAAAAGCATGCCTGCGTTGCATAAGTCAGCAAAGGGGGAGGGAAAGAGGTTTGCTCAGGATGACTCTGCACTCTGAGGGTCAATATAAACTTTGGAAGAGATATTCTGTATGTACATGGTGTTTTTCTTTCCTGAGAAGACAGTTACCTTTAAGACTTTACAGTACAGTACTACAATTTCCATCAGCCCTGGCCACGCTGATAGGTTTGGACTGGCAGGGGAATGAGTTTGATGACTCATGGGGTCCCTTCTATGATTCTACAGAGCTGGACGTTGTAGTCCAGAACATGCGGAGCTGCCTTACATGCTGTGTTAGAAGCTCTGAGGCGAAGGAGAAGCCTTTTGTCAAGCATTGGAGAGCAAAAAAAATTAATATAAGATACATATGTGTGGCCTTCTTATCAAGAACAGGGTGGTATCACATTGTAAAATCTACCTTTTTTTTTTCTTATTTGAAGAGGGCCCTTATGGAGTTTTTGCGGGAAGGGATGCGTCGAGAGGCCTTGCTACCTTCTGTCTGGATAAAGAAGCTCTGAAAGATGAATACGATGATCTTTCCGATCTTGATGCCTCACAGAGAGAGACACTGAGTGACTGGGAACAGCAGTTCACATGTAAGCATTCCAACCTGTCCACTACTCCAGATTGTAATCCTTTCCACCCTATCTACAAGAACGCACTGTTGCTAAAGGGGTGTGTTTCAAGGACTGAACCTGCCTCACATTTTTTTCCTTATTTTCATGGGCCATAGTACAAGCTGAAATTGGCTTCTTAGTGCTGATAAAACGCCACAGTTAACCGATCCAAAGTGCAATTCTAAGAATGTTAACTTGGAAATCAGTCCTTACTATTTTGTGGGACTTAGTCTTCAATGTATAGTGGTGCCTCACTTAACGATTACCTCATTAAACTCCGAAACCGCTATACAATGACTTTTGCGATCGCAAAACGATGTTTTAATAGGCAAAATTCACTTCCCGACGATCGGTTCCCTGCTTCGGGAACCGATTCTTCGCTAGACGACATTTTTAAAACAGCTGATCGGCAGCTTCAAAATGGCCGCCCGCTGTGCAAAATGGCTCCCCGCTGTGTTTTTGGATGGATTCCTCACTTTACAGGCACCGAAAATGGCCGCCCCTATGGAGGATCTTTGCTGGACAGTGAGTTATTCAGCCCATTGGAACGCATTGAACAGGTTTTCAATGCGTTTCGGTGGGATTTCTTTTTTCGCTTAACGAGGATTTCGCTCTACAGCGATTTCGCTGGAACGGATTATCCTCATTAAGTGAGATACCACTGTATCTGGGATTTGAACACAAACCGTAAGAGTTTCTTTTATACAAGCCCCATGGAAATTCAACACAGATCTTCTCCCATAGAGACACTTTCCTGGCAGACAATCCAGTTTTTCTGATTGCAAATTCTAAGTAGAACCAGTTTCTCTTGGCTTCAGTGTTGATGTCCAGCAACCTTACTTTACCCTGCCTACCCCAGCCTCTTAATCTTGTTACATAAACTTTGTGGATATTTATTAAAATAATAACCATTTTCTATCTTCACATGCAGTTAAATACCACTATGTAGGGAAACTTTTGAAGGATGGAGAAGAACCCACTGTGTATTCTGATGAGGAAGAAGTGAAAGAAGCCAAAGATCGCAAGAATGATTAGCAAACGCAGGGAGGAACAACCTGAAGATTGTTGGTTTTTTTGTTTTTTGCTGTTCAATTTTTAAAGGACTATTTGCCACATTACAGTTCTACTTTACCCATCTGAATATCCACCCTGTTTTTAGACATTGTGCAACTTGCAGCAAATTGGCTGCACTTAAAACCACATTTTAATCTATATTCTCAGACAACCTTGAGCTAGTTAAGGCTGGGCTTCTTAAATAAAAACGGTGAGATTCGATCTAGAAAGAGTGCTTGCCATGATGCTGTAGAATTTTTATGCTTCTAATGGCGCTTCGAAAACGGTATTGATTTAAATCCCTCTAAAAAGACAAGTGTACAGCAGTTGCGGTTGTTAAATGGCACCTCGTGAATGGCAACTATGTACTATGGTAGATTTCTTCTCCCACAAGAACATCTCTCTGTAGATTTCTTCTCCCACAAGAACATCTCTTGTCAGTATGAACTAATAGTGATCAGCATCCTCGTCAATAATTACCATTCCTTTCTTGTAATAACACTTTTAAAAAAATTAGCCTCCATATACCAGTTTCTGCTCCACTGTAACCTATACTTGTTCATCACTGAACTGTAAATTATATCTTTTGGGAAATTGCTGCTTTGGAAATCTATACAGTTTATGGAAGATTTCATCCATGTAACTGTTCTCATAAAGGGACCACATGGTAACAGCCCGAACACAGAGACTGTTTGTTTGTTTCTCTTTAAAACTGTTTTTATATGGGCATTTGTACCCAGTCTACAGTAAATAGTGAACTGGATTGGTTTCTCACAACTTTCTCCATAGAGAGGGCGAATACCTCATTGCCACTCAAAGCAGAATGATGTAAGCAGTCTGCTTCATTTACCTTCAATGTCCAGTTGTTAGGATATTCCTTGGTACGTTAAACAGCTAAAGTGACCTAAATCAAATCAGTCGTTCCAGCTAAAGTAAGATTAACTGACCGCTGCTTAGTGAGGCAACATATATGTGAATCCTATTCAATGAATCTGCTCTATGTGGGATTCCCAGTTGGATTCAAGCTGATGTGCGCTTAGGCAGAGTTCAGTGCACTTAACACTTTGGCTGGAAGGCTGTGCACATCTGCTAACACTAGTATTTGAGAAGTTTCTCACACTCTTCCTCAGTATAATACCCACCCACCCCAGGATGTCCATGCCTGTTGATGAGAGTTGTGGTCTAAACATCTAAAGGCACCAAGCTGGCAAGGCTGAGAGAGACCATTTGTAAGCTACTTGCTCCTCCTGGAAGTGGCATTTAAAGAAAAGAAAAAAAAACGCAGAGGGTTATGAGCTTGTTTAGGTTGGAGAGAAGAATGTACAACACCCAGTTCAGCAAGGTTAACAGGACAGCAGTAAAAAAGAAAACCTGCTATGCTGGATAGCCAGTGGTAATAATATAGTTTAAATGCAAGGGCAGCAGAGCCTAAGCTATTCTTAGAAGCTCCTAGGTGTACTTCTTTTACAAAAATAGTCATGGAGGCAACCATCCTTAAAAGGTGGATTGTTCAGTATTACAATACAGGTCCAGTCCATCCTGCTGGTTTACTGAAGGAGATCCATCAGGCATAGCTGGTATTCGGCATGGACTGGGTGCTTCAGAAACTTTTGCAACATGCACGGTGAGTGGAAAGGAAACACAAGCATCTCTTACGCACTGAGATGCTTTATTTGGGCTTGCGTCCATGGCACCTCAAATGTACATAATTTTAAGGCAGCCATGTCTTGTTGCTTTTGATAAGCTAGAACAGGTGGATTTAAATTTAAATCCCACCCCACCCCACCCCCAGTGCCCTGTAGGAAGTCTACATTGATTTGGTGGAACATTAAAAGGGCAGCTTCACTGGAGCTCTGCTTCTCCTTATGGACTTCCTCGCCACAGATAGCTTGAAAAGGAAAACAAAATTTAAGCTAGGGATCCCCAACAGCCGAGGCAAATGGACTGTGTTTGTTGTTCCAATGTGTATTCAGAGGTTCTCCTACCGGATCCTGTCTGTCCTTCAGTGCTCCACCACCCACAGCTCTGACATTCCTCACACATGGCAGTAAGTGTTGAATTTTTGCTATTCATAATTGCAAAGTAGAGAATATGGCGCCTGTTTGCCTCAAATTCTGTTGTATTGATTTTTGGCTCTTGGTAATCACTAGGCCTTAAAGAGAAGTAGTTGGCTGAAGTGTTGTGACCTACCTCTGGGAGTTTCAGGCTAACTGACAGTAGCCTCAATATTCTTTAGTGTTATTCACCATCTTTCCTTTCTTAAAATTTACTTGTTTTTTTGAAAACTGGCTTTAGATGTCATTTGAAGCACAAGAAGCTTGTAGTTTGTTTTTAAAAAGTAATAAAAATAATAAAAGCTTTCTAAAAATTCTCTTTGTTTCACCTAACAATAAATGTGGTATATTGTGCTCCTTTCATTTGTACTCCTTTCAATCCTAACTATGCCAGTAAAATAAATATTTGTCATTAGTAACCCATTGCTCATTTCTGTTTGCTATGTATACAGTGGAATCATCTAGCAAACGTTAAGTGGAAGTTCGCATGTTCTCTGCTCCTGGTTAGAAATTGGACAAGCTGGCTTGAAAATGGGGCAACAGACAATTATCTGCATGAGGAGATAATACTGCAAGCCTTCTCTTATAATTCTCCTCCCTATAGTTTTTTCCAGGACTTATAAAAGTTCTTAATTCCTTTGCTGGAATGAAAGGTGTCATTTTAAGCAGCAAATTTGGGTTTCCCCTAAAGACTAACAAAGCATCATTTAATAAAATATATTTAAAAATTAGCAGGGGGGTTGATTACCTTGTGTCGAAACAATGTAAACTGGACTGGATACAGTATTTCTCGTTAGGTTAGTGCAGTAAGCAAAGATTAGGTTTACTATCCAGAGCAATAGTTTTGCTGCACCTGAATTCTTTCCAATATGTAATTCTAAACAGGGTTTAAGGATTAGCTAAGAGGCTTTAAGCCAAAGGTTAACAAATAGATTTATCTGCTGTGTAAGACGCAATAGAAGCATAAGCTTTTGTAACGCCTTGTATTGTTGTACACCTTTGGTCTCCTTTTAAACTATTTTAAAAGCAGTCACTGTTGTAGAAGAGAGGCAACACACACCAAGCAACCTGGTATAATACAGAGATTTCTCCTACCAATCTTCCTGATCATCTGCCATTTCTCATGGAATGCAGCAGTCCTGATCATCTGCCATTTCTCATGGAATGTGACAAAGCAAACTATCCAGCACATTTCCTATGAATTTAAATTCCTTCCAACTCATTGAGGAAATTTCATAAATCTCCAGGGATACACACTGGGCTTTTATTAATGACCTTTAACCAGCTATCACATCACCAGCCTCTACACTACAGGAACTGGGATACAAGCACATTTATGTAAACAAATGGCAGACAGAAGACCAAGAAATCCCCACACAGAAGCAACTGACAGCAAGGACAGGAGTCATCCTTTGAAAATAAAAGGCACCAGGAAAACTGTCCAATGCATTTTGAGAGCATTTAGCAAAGCTTTGTGATCATGGGCACATGTACACATACTGCTCAGAGCTTAATTTGCAGGATAAACCCCAATGACATGGTTGTTAGACCAAAGTTTAATCAATAACCCAATTTCTATGGAATCGGGTCATTAGTCCAACATAGCACAGTGCTGTCTACAGGAGAGGTGGACAACTGTGGCCCTCCTGATGTTTTTGGGGTAAAGACCCTACCTCTAGAGGCTGAACTGCTATGAACCACATATCTGCAGAAATGGGGATTCACCATTCAGCTACTAGATGTCCTGTTGTATCTACCAGTGACTCGTCAACCCTGAATTCTCTATTTTGAGACTGAGGTAATTGCAGATTGCATGGTTTAAACAGCTGGCCAAATCTTTGATGGTTCTTAAACACAGATACAACAAAGGTTCATACACTAGTGGAATTACACCTGGTTCTAATAAAGGTATTCAGATTTGGGGGTATGTAATGTTCTTAGGCGCAAACACACTAGCTGTGTTTAACAAAATTAACCACAGCTTCTACCACCTTTTAAAGGTTTTCTGATCACGCATAATCCTCCAGATCAAGCTCTCAATTGCCATGGCTATTTGGCTACTCTTAATTCTGCAGCTATGAATAACCAGACATTGTCAATTTAATCAGTCATGAATTAACATTTAAACAAGTTTACGTAAAATAAATACATTTTATTTTTCATAATTAAGACACCACATTTTTTCCAAGCAGTACAGGTTGAATTAGAACATGTCTACAAACTTACTTTTTTTAAAAAAGGTTTTAGAAAGCTTTCTAGGAACATCCATAAAATTACTTTCACAATCTATTTTCTGGCATTGACCAATGCATGTTTAAAAGAGTTAAATAACCAGTACTTAAAGAATGGATGGGGGAACAGTTCAAGAATGTACAAACAGAAGGTACAAAGATATTAAATGAGAGTTTGTTTTAATTCCACACCATATAATGAAGTCACTGGACTTATCTGAACAATTCTTTTGCCCCAGGGGATTACACCTGAAGGGACACTTAGGGGTTTTCTGGTTGGGGTTGCTTTGCTCCTCCCAGACAAAGATGAATGACCTAGGAAACTTCCATGAAAAAGCAGGATTTCTCTGTTCATTCATCCATTCCTTTACTCCAGAGGAACACGCAGGCTCAAGTCCAACCCCAGGGTAAGTTCTCTAAACATGCAATTATTTCACTGGTTATTTAAAAATAATAATCTTGTTTTCTCATTTTAAGGTGCAACAGCTACTTTTTATTTGCTTGAAGCAGTAATAAATTGTATTTGAGGTATAGAAAAATGTTCACAGCGTTGTTTATAGACTAATATAAAGGAAAAAAAACCTCCTATGATGCAGTTTCATGGAGATCTGGCAGTGACTTTTCCAAGGGAGTTACCTTTGAGTGTGTTCTCATACTGTTCTTCTCCTTTCATAATAAGAAACTGGGGGAACAAAATTATTCATCCTTTAATAGACAATTATGTCCCTCTCATCCAAAATTCAAAAGGATCAAAAGTCACCATCTCCTTGTAGAAAAAAAACTGCTACATTTCCCCCAACACTGCATCTTATAGTTACCATTAAAAATAAGGTCCATGATGTGAAGGATGCAATTTTAAGTGAGTACAAACATTTTATGGAAAATGTATGCACCCATACACAAATTAATTAAACACAACAGCTGAAAGTAAAGGGCTAGGAAGCAGGTAAGATTTTTGTGCCTGTAAATACTATGTAACCAACAAATAAAACATAACCCCAAAACATTTGAAATATTAATGGAAGAATTTTCTATTAAATTCACGATCAAGTGAAACATTAAATTAGATTGAGTTTAAAAAAATGTAACCGAAGTGCAAAAGATTACTTCTAGATCATTCCTTCTCTTTGCCACCTTCAGCAACACATTGTTTCCCTCCAAAAAAAAGATTAAAGTAGAAACTAGAGGACTGTGGAAACTATCACCATTGACCAGTCTGACACAAAACACAAGCTAAACACAGAAAAAAATATCTGCATACTTAGGTTTGCTATTTTGTTGGAGCTGAACATTAACAGAAATGCATGGTATGCTAGGGAATGCGTATCGCATGAACATCGCCTTGACATGTAATAAATAAAGCATATTAAAGTGAAAGCAGAAACGTGAAATAAAATTTGTAGCTGTTCCCTTCCTATGGAATACTAATTCATAGTGATTATGGTCATCTGCTGTAATAAGAGACAACCTACCTTCAAAGGGCTTTCTCTTAAACAGTCCCGCTGAAGTCAGTCGAGTGCTTTCCTTTCCAACGAGCATTGGTTTATTTCATAATTCCAGCTCCATGTGTCACACAATTGTAAGCAGAAACTGGGTAAAATCATCCATAGTATCTGACTTGTCTACCTGGTACTTCAGAAGGCCACTTGCTTGGATAAAAATACCAACCACAACTGAATTTTTTTTTCCTATCTCACTGTTTCAAAGACCCTTTGGAACCCAGATGTCTCTAGCCTGTGAAGAATCTGTGAAAGTTTAAAATGGATTCCTACCATTTCTCTTTAAAAAAACAAAACAAAACCACCATTGTTATCCCACCCAAACCGAATACTTTGTTCTGCCATGTCTGAGAACCAACGAAGCAAGAGAACTGCAATTTTAGGGACTTCTGGGGAGACTGCACTGGTTCTCAAACAACCCAAAAGCTGGAAAGTACCTCAACCATGATTGTAGCAGAGCTCTGCCCATTTCATCAGCAAACCTCAGCTCCTCTGCACACTACATTAATTTACAATCAAGCTATATATCGTAGAGGAAACGAATGTAGGTTTCTTTCTCTCGGCTTCAGAACAACAATAGTGTTGCATCCCAGAGCGTACAGCTCCTTTCTCCTCCCACTGTTTTCCTCCAATCTAAACCCCATCATCAAGGGGAGAAAAAACTTTCCTATATTATTCTAGCATTTTATTTTATTTTTATTTTTGGCCAGATGCTTTGGGAAGGGGAGTAATTGGGAAAGTGCTGGGCAAGTACAAGGCATCTGTTCTTCCCGGCACCACTGTTCGAAGGACAACCCAAGGGCCATCTGGCTGCTTTAATTTTATGATTTTTAAAGGAAGGCATTTAATATTTTAAAGAGACATTTGGCATCCAAACAGTTGGTTCTATAGTGCTCATCCAATTATAAGGAGTCTAGGAGCCATAGTCCAAAAATTTTTTAGAAGGCCAAAGTTTCCCCATTCTAGATTTAAGGAAACCTGGGAATGGATGTCATATGCACTTTTACCATAGCTGGACAAATAGGTATAACAGTCGTAAGGAAAAGTACAGGAGAGGAGAGGCTTGGAGACATGGGGCCGGTGGTTCTACGTGCACACCAACCAAAAAACCCAATGGGTCCTACCGTAAAAGACCCTCAACCATCAAACAGTATGTGACACAAGCCCTACATTGTCCAGTCTTTGAATACAATATTCTAATGGAAGCTTGTGTTTCATCCTGCAGCATTTTCAGGAAGTTATAAATATATTTAATTTCTCCCTTAGACGTATGTCCTATCTTGTCTCCCACATCATCCCCTTTCTGACATCACGGAGGAGGCACTTTCTTTTTAAAGGTTATAAATTAAAGATTTATTCAACTGGTATAGGAGTAACTTAGGCATAACTCCTCTAACTGTACAGTAACTAGAGTGTAGAACTTACATTCTGCAGTTCCATTCAAAAATCAGCAAAAGACCATTCAGCTTATTGAGCTCAAACTATTAAGTAGTCTATTCAAGGTAGTGTCAATCATGCATTTTGGTCGCTCTGTTGGGGGAGTGGCCCCCATTTGTGCAAGTATCAAATCCATGAACTCATTTTTGTCAAATCCATCAACTCATTTTTATCACCAAGCTGAGTGCTTCCCTCTCTCTACCCCAGCATGCAGAAGAGCCTAAGCAAAATGCCTCTTATCACTGAGAGTCCACCTTTACACTTAAATTTGTGAAAGAGTTATATAAAATGGCCTATTCTGAACTTCCTCCTTGCAGAAGTTCCAGATTCCCACTGTCCTCTCGGACCAACGAGGTTAGCATCCTCTTCCAAGGTCTGTTCCACACAGTGACTCTGGGTATGGACTTTTCTGAATTATTTCGACAGGAAACAAAGGCCATCCTTCAGAATCTTCTCCCACCTCTCTTCTTAACAGTAAGTCGCCTGCAAACCAGGACAGAGTTGCAGCACAACCTCAAGAGTTAAGAATGCTCAAGTCACAGGAGCTGTTCACAACTCCCAAATGTGTTTGCAAAACTGAAAGCTACCCCATCTACAGTATATTCAGCCAGTTCCTTGTGTCACCGTCCTCTACCTGTATGCCCACATTTCTACTACCTCGGAGAGATGCCCTAATAATCACCTTTCCACCCTGCCCTTGGAAGCTCTTTGCCTTCCCTCTGTCTCACACCCTCTCATGGCAGTCACATTCATGTCCATATTCCCCTTACCTGCCCCCTGATGACTTTCCTGAAGCTGAGAGGCAGTCAAACGGAGGACATCTTTTGCTTTTACTGCAGGGAGTGCTTTACATTTCATTTTGTGGTGGAACCCCTTGGTGTACTTCCTCTGGATCTTGCTGAGGGACTCCAGCTCTCCACAATGGTTGACTTTAAGGAATGAAGGTTCATCATCAGGTAAAGAATTACTGGAGGGCCTTTTCTTCTTCTTCTTCTTCTTCCTCCTACTGGCTTCCCTCTCGTCTTCGCTAGACAGCCATTTGGTTTTCTGTCCTTCGTGTCGCACGTTACTGCTGAACCTCTTGAAAGTCATTTTAAGTTTCTGCCTGGGATTCTTTGTTGAGTCGTAACACTCAAAGCTGGAGCAAAAGCTGCGCTTGGTGCCTTCACTATCTTGACTGCCACAGGCAACATTCTGGACACAAATCAGCAATTCTCTTGCCTTTTGTGGGCCAAGAGGCCACACTTCACAGCTACTTCTGCAACCACCATTTCTTCTTTCTGTTTTGCTTAGTGGCTCATTAAATGTCTCACTAAAATATTCAGAATCACTGCTTATCTCTTCCAATAAGTCCTTCAATTTATACACATGGCCAAAGGGCTTGTGTGACGATGCCATTGTTATTCCAGTATTCTCCTTCTGGTGTTTTATATCACAAGCAATACCAGGGTTTCCTACAACATGAGCATTCCATTGAACTTGTGGTGTTTTATTGCTGGTATCCTCTAGTGCATCATCCCACTGGTAGCTTTTGGCAAACTCTCCAGTACGTGCCTGGCTATTTGGCATTATCTGCAAAGGCTTGGGTTCTTTGTCTATAACTTCCCGTTTTCTACTATCGCTCTCTCTGGAGTCTCCTTCATGGGGATTTGGTACCAAATTCAATTTTGTCAACAACTTGCCATCTTTGTTCTTGAGGCTGACCTGGAAACCATTCCCACTATAAGACACTACTCTCTGCCACCGAGACTTATCCACGGGATTCTGGACCTGTGGACAGATCCGTGCATATCTTGGGGTTTGATAATAATTAAGTAAATAATGTATAAATTCCTCTGTTTCATATACTTTTGGCTTCCTGCCCTTGCTTGCATTCATGGCTTCTGAGAAGCATCTCAAGTTTGGTTGTAGATAATCCCCTCTGTTAGGTGATTTTTCAACTTTGCAGTCTTGCGTGATAGTGACCTGTATCAAGCCACCAGCACGATGGCAATCTGTGTCCTTCTCTGTTAGGTGGCTGGTGATCACTCTACCAACTGGCTTGTTCAAAACAGTTCTAATTAGGGGACAAGGTGACGTGGGTTCTTCACTCGTGACATGCTTCTTCTCTCCTTCCCAAACATGGGAGTTATCCAGGTCTGCTGAGTGACACTCTGGCACCTTCTCATCCTTCACGTCTTGATGCCCAAAGTAACAGGAGTTTGTCTTCTGCTTTAATGCTTTCTGTGTGGGAGGTGTAGGGAATAAATCCTCCCTTTCATTTTCAGTATTCACTGGAGGTTCTCCCACTTGTCTTGATGACAGCACAAAATTCTTCAAGTGATTGGAGGGGGAAACAAAGACAGAATTACAGTACAACAGTATAAGCAACACCTAGAGAAGGCAAATAAAATTCAGCAACTCCTGACTATAAGTTATCTCACCTACAATTTGAGATGTGTGGGGTACTATCTGGTACTTGAGATTAAAAAGAAATGTATTTATTCCCGAAATTACATGGACCAGAATTCACCTAGAAACGGTTATGAGCACAAGTCACTGTGCTGGATCCAGATTTCATCATATGAAAGCAACAGCTATAAATTGGTCATAATTCAGTTAATCCTACTAATTACAAGGGGTCTTAGATTTCTCCAAGTGTGATCAAGAACGCGTCTGCACTTCAAAATTACAGCAGTCTGACAGTACTTTAAAGGACATGTCTTTTAGGATTTGTAGTCTGGTTGATGTACTGTACTTAGAATGTTCTATTACAGATTCCAATGCTATAGTTCAGGGGAGTGCAGTGGTGCTTGCTAGAAGAAAATTCTAAGTACGTATTTCATCGAACTACAAATCCCAGGAGACCACAGAATGGAGCTACTACAGTCAATGTGATACCAACGTGCTGTTAACTGTGCAATGCAGATACACTCTATGTCTGGATCCAATTCACTGAAATAGAAGTGAGAAAAAAATCATGAATGTCCCTTTGCACAGCTCCTGTTTTCAATCACTCCGTTTCACCACCATGCCACAGGGCTTGTGTAAGAGAATGCAACTGTGGATGATGTCCCTTGGATCCATTCCATCTCCTTCCCTCCATTCCTCTAACAAAATGAACAGGTTTCAAATTATGCTGCTTGAGGTAACATCCTCAAACGTCCCCCACCATATAGATGTTTCTGGGGACTGACTTCTTAGTCAGTCTAATTTCTCCATACAGGAAATCTTTTATTGCGATTTAATTTTAAAGGACAGCCTTTTTAAAAGTCTCAAAAGACAAGGTGACTTACATCTTGAAAGTTTATGCTACTTCTGTCAAACTGTTATGAGTGAACATGTTAGACAGCAATTGCCAAGATGCCTTCCACGAATATCAACTGTAAATGTTTTTTTTAAAATATCACATCACTATTGTTATATTGAAACAAGGCTCCAAGCTCTATACAGGCCAGGAAACCTCCGTGCCACTCCTTCTGAACCTTCACAGGATTCCCTTATGCTACGGCAATAGTTTGTATAATAATCTGACAGAAGATGAAAAGGAGGGAGAAATCAAATCTACCCAGTCCAGTCTAAGAGTTCCTGACTCTTTCAACTCAATTTCAACTCTGGAGGCACATTTTAAATATGTAATTCTCCCTCCTCCAGCCTCATGGATAGTCTGGACTATCAAAACAAATTTCACACTGCACAGGTGAACTGAGAACTAATACCAACTGGTGATGAAATCTTTTGATATGCATTATGAGAGCTGTCCACACCCTAAACCTTTAGGAAGATTTTAAATTCTTACTTTTATTTGGCTTAACAGCACTGTAAGCAGCCGGATAGACTCCACTCTTCTCTGAGCAAGGAGGTACTTCCTTTCTTCCCATTCCGGCATATTTTCTGGCCACAACTCTTCTCCAGCTGTTACTTTCTGCTGCTTTCTTGGGCGTTTTTCATCCCGCTCTATCTGTCTTTTCCCCCGTTTCTTGATCTTAGACTTCCTCTTTCCTTCACCTTTTTTTCCGTCATCATCACCATCATCATCACATCTTTTTCTAGGCAATTATTAATATGGATCAATTTTAACGAAAAAAAATTACATTTTTAACTCTTAGAAGGCAAAGAGCAACAGGAAGCACATCCTTCTTTCCACTTAGTTGCTATTATATACAACAAACCATACATTTTGGAAATGTTTATTTTGAATGTAGCTGCCGATACAATTTCCAAACAGATAGAAAATGTATTAAGATAAGCTGAAGCTCTTCCTTGAAACCTATTAGACACCTAAGAGTTACAGACACTACGTCTAAAGTCAGATGCTATGGCTGCATTTCAATTCACAATTTTTTGTGCGTTATGTGTTATCAAGTTGGAACCAACTTGTAGCGACCCTTGCAGGATTTTCAAGGTAAGTGATGTTTTTATGAAGTGGTTTTACCAGCACCAACTTCTCATGAATTTGTGTTACTGAGTGGGGATTCAAACCCAGGTCTCCTAAACCCTAATCCATCACTTAATCCACTAAACCACACTTGGTATCACTACATACATCAGAAGCTTCACTTATTTCAATGGGACTTGAAAACATGCCTGCAGTTAGTCTGTAGATCATGTTGTTCCTTAGAAAATATATAACTTGGCTGTTCCTTTTCCAATCAGAACTACAGACTTAATCATCTTGCTTTCCTTTCAATTAAGGCTTCTCGGCTTACGGATGTTGCCATTGGTCTGCTGTCCAATAAACTAGACTATTTCTCTCTGGTCCAGAAAAATGATTTGAAAGCATGCAGTGCTGATCTATGCAAGTTCTAAGCAGGTCTCAATTTTTAAGCTGTTCAGCTCTTCATAGGAAAAACAGGGAAGACATGAAATTAATGATAATTTCAGGGCCAACAAAGCAGTAATTCCCAAACTAACTGTGACATGAGAATTGACAGCATGCCATAGTGCAGTGGTTTCCGACCTTGGGTAACTCAGGTGTTCTTAGACTGCAGTTCCCCGAAGCCTTCACCACAAGCTGCGCTGGCCAGGGATTCTAGGCGCTGCAATCCAAAAACAGCTAAGTTACCCAAGGTTGGGAATCACTGCATAGTATATTACATAATGATGCATTGCTTTGAAGTAAGAAGTGCCCACAAACAGAAGGGAGGCAGACAGTTGCATCCATCTACAATTTACAAGTACAACTTTACCTGCTCCTCATTAGGCATTCATTTGGGCAGATAATGGTACCATGTCTGTGCTCTACCTCAGTGGTCCGCAACCTTGGGCCTCCAGATGTTCTTAGACTTCAACTCCCAGAAATCCTGGCCTGCATAGGTGGTGGTGAAGGCTTCTGGGAGTTGTAGTCCAAGAACATCTGGAGGCCCAAGGTTGGGGACCACTGCTGATTGTTTTGCCATAGAATGATTTGATCTCAGAGGATATGGGGTGTTATATCTGTGCATGAGTTGCTGCTCTGGACTTGCCTTCCTTCAGTTGGGAAATATGTCTAGATCAATGATGAATGCAAAATTACAGAACATAGTTTTGCCTGAAGGCAGAAAAGTCCAATAGTTGGCAGAAATTCAGGCAAAGAGAAAGGAACTAGAAAACTTAGTGATGTGGAAAGTTCAGAGGGATGTATTTAAAGAGGATGTTTTAAATTTAGCAATAAAAATTCAAAATTATTAGCTAGAATGTGAAAAAAATAGAAGATTAAAAAACACAATTGGGATAATTAAAGATAGAACAGTTAAGAGGTGTAATATAATGAAAGATAAATTGAAGATATTTCAAGAATTTTATCAGAAATTATATAAAGGAAACAATGTACTGAAAGAGAATATAGAACATTATATAAATGAGAATTTAAAAACTAAATTATTAGAATGCAATAAAAGAATTTTAGAAGAAATTAAAGAAGAAGAAATTGCTGAAGTCATTAATAAACTGAGAAATGATAAAACACCAAACCCTGATGGATTGCGTCCAGAATATTATAAACATCTTAGTTTCATTTTGATACCTAAGCTAAAAATGTTTTATAATAAAATATTGGAAGGACAGACAATGCCACCTTCTTGGAAACACTCATTAACGATTCTTATCCCAAAACCCAACAGATCGGGATCTTATACTGTAGGCCTATATCTCTAATAAATCAAGATGCTTAAGATTTCTACTGCTATATTAGCAAACAGATTAAACAGATTTATAGCAAATTATATTAAAGAGGATCAATGTGGCTTGAAGGGAAGGCAAATGGATAATTTAACTAGGCGAGTTTTGAACATTATATATGAGGTAGAAAAGGAAAAAACGAAGGCAACCGCCTTTGATTGTGTGGAATGGTCAACATTAAAGCTGCTTATAAAGGGTTGGTGATTTGGTAGAAGATTTACTTGGGTTATAGATCAATTATATTCAGATAATACTTCAGAAGTAATAGTCAATGATGGTTTTAAAATGTGTAATTATATTAAATATTTAGGTGTAAATACCGTGAGTAAGTAGAATTTATAACCTAATTTTGGAACAAAAGGAAAAAGAGACTGAAATAGAAGGTTTGAAATCAATTTGATACTGAGAATACTGAGCCGCCTAGAGTGGTCGTAAGACCAGATAGGCGGGATGTAAATAAAATAAATAAATAATAAAAGAATAAGTAAATTTGGGATCATGATTTAAAGACCAAAATTAAAACAGAAGATTGGACAAAAATTTGGAAGAAGAGAGTTTTAAGATTAATGTCAGTAAGAATAAAGGATTTTTTTTTAAAAAAATTTAGTTTAAGGTAGTACATGGCTCAGGTGAAATTGTACTTTCTGCACAAAGGTTAAATGTTTTAAAGAAGAACATGGAATAAGACCCTGAAAGTGTTAAATTGTTTGAGGAAGGGTAGAAAATAAAATGCTGCAAATGCTGAATTATCCAGAGATTCTTAAGTCTAGTGTTACCATTTCTGTCTTTAGCATAACAACTTTTGTTCCCAGCACAACATAATGGGCAGAGCCCAGGCCTCCCTGCAGAATAAAATGTATATACTGTACTCAGGTGTTTTCTGGTGCTCAGCTGCAAGAAGCCCCTGGGAGAGAAAAGGATGGCTGAGAAAACAAGCAGCGACACGCACCTACATTTTTACTCAGTAGCCAGCCTTGCAACCCTAGCAGCATCAAGATCTTTCTCAGAAATTAATGTTGATTCAGAGTAAAGATAACACAGCTTTATAGAACTGAAGTGATTAAGAAACAAGGCACACAGTAAGTTATGTCCTCAGCAACTATGATCTGCAGTTCATCCTCTTGCAATTCCCAAACCAATAACTGATCGTCGCTAAGTTTCAACAGAGAAGCCAAGTTACTGGGCACAAGTGTATGTTGGTGTATTAGAGAAGCAATTCTGAATAATTCAGCAGAGCCCCAGGTGTACAGCAGATTTTAATCACTGGCATCAGAGTAGTCTGAATATAATACCTTCTAGGTGCCCCCAGACATAACTAAAGCAGAATTAGAAAGGTCAGGAATAGTAAAAACAGCAACAAGCGCAGCAAGAGAATACCAAGGTGGCTGCCTACCTAATTTTAAAAAAATCTGTACAGTTGGACTATGAAGAATAGCCAACATTTCATATAGTACCCTACAGATATTGCTATTACTTCCTCCCATGATCTAAATATCTTCACTTGATACCAATATACAAACGTTATGCGAGGCACCACTGTATCTTCACTTGATACCAATACATACAACCAGCTTGGATGGTATGCAACAGCAAGCTCCTATCGGCTCTTACAATTTTCAGTGTCAACTCCTTCAGCTCTGTTGGTTGCTGCCTTATCTGAAGCTCATGTCAACATTCAGAGCTACCTACATGTACTCCATCCGGAACTGGGTGCAAAATCTGTTCTTAGAAATTCTCAGTTTGCTTCCTTTCTCTTTAAGACATGCTAGCTATCATGACAGTGATGATATTCTTGAATATGAGATCAACTCCTGTGGAAATCCCAAGAAACTGAAATAGATCTGTATATAATTCTCTAAACTGATAAGCAGGTTTTCATAATTTTGCTGAATCAGTTTCCTGTTCAGTTTTATTTAACCAATAAAACTATCAGAAAATCCCCATGACTAGCAAAACCAGAATAAAATATGCAGATGGTAAAAAGAGCAAAGAAGAAAAAATGTAAAGCAAATTTGCTCAGTTTGTACACTGTGCTCAGGTGACAGCAATCAGTTGTTTTTAATATGGAATATGAATTGATCTACTGACAAATTTTGATTTCTTTTCACAAAATACAGAGTGCACACAACAGGGGACAAACTTCTTTCCTTTCAATCTCTCAGTACCTCCACCATCAAATAAATGGTCAATATTTAAAAAATCAAGTTCCTCACCTTTCCGTCCCTTTTTTCCCTCTGTTTTCCTCCCTCTTTCTTTCTCGCTCTAGCCCTTGAAGTGTTAATCTTTCCAGGTTTCTCTGATTTATAGCAGTCTCACTGAAATGTCTGGAAGTATCAGAAGTCACCTGTTGCAAAAATAAAGAGAACAAAAACATAGCATTCCTCTCTTTAAAAGATCAAATGCAGGAAGCTTCTTGAATCAACCTGAAAGCCACAGGTGCCAACTTCAAAGTCACAAGTACCACTCAGAAAGCCTACAGCACCAAGAGATTCTCTAAGTCTCTTCCACTCAGCTACCTCCAATGCACCATATGCAGAAAGCCTACAGCACCAAGAGATTCTCTTCTTCCACTCAGCTACCTCCAATACACCATATAAAGGACCCTGCTATACAACCCAACAAGGATAGTACTGTATGAACGTACATAGCAGAGATTCCCATTCCTCTTCTTCAATGCTCTACTCAGACACACCCAAATTAATCCTTCTGCAAAATGAGGATTATACTGCACCACCAAGAAGCATTTTAGCTATTGCACATTTAGATTGCCTAATAACCACACATCATTTAGTGGTGCCTATTGGTGATCCTAACCAAACATCACCATTCCAGCTAACCCCACTTCAAACTGCAAGCCTCTATAGTGGGGAATAAGGGAGGAAGTTTTAAAAAGAAGATGTAAAGATTCTCCTGAGACAGCTGTTGAAAAGGATAAAGATGTGATGTAACAGTACCCACGACAGGGCCAAGGCTTTGAAAAGAAGCTCTCATCTTCTTTTGCTTTCTACATGAGATTTTGGTATACAACAAATTCCTCAGCTTTAACTCTTCTGTATTTAAAACTTCACTTATGAAACTTGATTAAGGAGAGAACTTTACGGAAGAAAAATAGTTTTATCTCAGGTTAGTCACACGAAAGGACTGAAATCCTCAGTCAAAGGCTGTCCTTGAAATTAAGCCATATAAATTACAAAGAAGGAATGAAAGCCAAATCCAGGTTGCATTCAAGTAAAAATGTGCAGAATGCAAACCCACTTTCTTAGGAGAAAGATCTACTAACGTTTCAGTAGACCTGTAAAGGATTCTGCCCTTAAGAATCTTTGTGGAACCATTTGTAAACTTTTAAAAACTTGTTTTATTTTATAGTCCACAACAATTTTATATCCAAAAGAGGAACCAGAAAAATAATTCTAAATCATAGACAAGGTGGTTGATTTCTCATAGACAAGACAGTCATATACAGTATCACTAAAGAAAAACCTGAAAACAAAACCAAAAAGCATACCAACTGGGCAGACCAGTAAAAAGCATATTCTACAGAAAGTTGCATCCCGTGAAAATAATTTGAAATATTCATTCACCTTTACAGCAACAGTAATGTCTCATCAGGAAGGCTGAAAGCAACTGAAACCACCTGACAGCACGAGATACCTTACAGCATGGTAACAAAGTCTGGTGCCACTTAAGAGGCTGACAGATTTATTACAGTTCATATTCTGTGAAATAAAACCATCAGTCAAAAATAGGCCTGAAATGGACAACCAGCCCCTAAAAACATATGCCAGGGGGGATCCTATTGGTCTTCCAGATACCACAAGACTTTGTACTTTTGTAGCAAGAGGCAAAACTTGGCTCTTTGTGGGATACTTCTTACCTTAATGTTACATGCAAGAGCTTTTCCATCATCCCCTTTAAACATCAGCTTCATTCCCTTAAGTGCCTCCATAGCTTTTGAAAAAGATGCAGACTCTTGGTACTGGACAAAAGCGTCAAATATCCGCAGACCGCGGAAAGTGAAATTGTTCTTCCTTCCTCCCACCATTTCTTCCCTATAAGGATCAAGCATGGGGATGTCTATGTTCTTGATCTTCCCAAAACTTTCAAACACTTCTCTCAATACATCTTCGCTTGGTGTTTCACTATCTGAGCCTTTAAGTGCAAACCATTTGCACGGCAGTCCTTCCAAATGAAGGCAATCTGGAACATCCTTCCTTTGCTCAGTAGAATCTTCCTCCAGCATTTCTCTACCATTCAAATTGGTTTCCAACTCCCGAGGAGTTGCGAAATCAGGAAGCACCTCTGTAGCAACCACTTGCAAGTCATCTTTAAAACCATTCAGTTTTATCATCTTGCCATGGAGTTTTTCCTTAAGGCTACAGATCAGGCGCTTGGTTTCTGCCTCTCCCTCAAACCGAATGAAACCCTTAGTGCTCTTTGAAACCTTAACACTGGTGAACTGGTCTGGACAAATCATGTTCTTCAGCTTGTCCATCACTTCCCATTTTGAGAAGGCCCGGGTAAAACTGGTGTGTTCTGGAAGCACCACACTGATTGTCAGTTTTGCTACTGGCTTAAGATAGAGTTGCTGAGAAGCACAAAGCTCCATAGCTTCTGAGGGATCACATACTAGAGTGGCTGTCATGGCGTCCAAATGTCCTTTAGAAAAAACAATTAAAAGGAGGGTTATGCTGAAAAGCAAATAAAGCATGCTCCTTATATCCTACCCTACATGATTATCAGGAACAGCCGCTTCCACCATGTACTCCGTACAGACTGGTACTACAAAGCATAGCTGCCATGTATGCTATATTTCAGCCTGTATCAGAGTAGTCCATACTTTTGATTGATGAATCATAGGGTTTTTTGATTTTTCAACTTCTCTAAACTTTTCCAGTTAAACATTCCAACCCAAAAAGATTTGCCTTCATTGCCTGTCTCTATGAAATTGCTACTTAGCAGTTACTCTGGTTTCAGTGGAATCCACTCCAATATAAGTGTACATAAGATTAGAAACATTTTTGTTGTTGTTATGATTTAAAGATCACCCTGATTCTAAGCACTTAACCTCTCTCATCAACTTATTAAGTACATTCTAAAATGACCTATACCAAAAAAAGCAGTTTTCCAAAACTGATTAGCTCTCTGCAACTGCAATACAATTACAGTATAGTAATTCTAACAACTGAGTACTTGAGGAAAAGATTCTACACATAAAATTATTTAAACATGAGAATAAAAATAGCACAAATCAAGCATCCTTTATTTTCAAAGTATGCTATTGTTGCTTAAAAAGAGATACATAGCATCAACAACAAAAACCACCATTTTCTACTTGCCAGACAGACAGAACCAAGCAATGCATTTTTTTGCATTTTACAGATGAATTCAATATATCCATAATATGGCATCAGAATGTTACACAGCTGTAACTTCTACAACATAAACACTTCTATTTATTATTCTATTTATAACAACGTCTAGTTCAAAATATATACAGTACCATATTCTACCTCAGGTTAGCAAAATTTCTTTCTCAGTATCTGTGAAATAATACGATAACTCACCTTGGAATATTTAAAAAGCATTTTAACGTTCACTGAAATTATCCCGACATTTTCTGACTCTTCTGTATATGCTTTGCTTTTCTCCTAGTCTTCTAATGTTGTCTTCCAAGTTCTGTACCGGAAATCACAGTGATCTCACTTGAGCATGTATTTAGTTCTTCCCTAAAATGCTGTATTTCTCAGTAAGTTTTTGTACTTGAAACAAAGGGTAACAAAATTCCCTTCTACTTAATCATCTTGCTATATGAATGTGCAGGGAAAGATTCCCATCAACTTCTAGTAAGCTCCTTTTGAGACCTTACAACCCAAATTGCAGAACTCAGGGGAGCCCAGACTTAATAATAAAATACAGCCGCAGGCAAAGCCATCACCTGTTCCCATCCTTTACAAAACATCTTAGCTGCAGATGTACATCCACATGTTAAAAATGTACATCCATGTTAAAAAATAAAACCATACACACACAATCACAGGATACAAATACACAATCAAATCCTTGACAGACTGGTGAAGGGTTCTGTGATAACCGTCAACAATCTGCCACAATATTAATTTGTTTACACGGTACCTAAAATCCTGTTACTTAGCACAGTTAACTCACACTAGAACAGGCCCCCTGAATCAGTGGGGATTTGGTGAGTATACAGTACTCCTCTGTAAGTTCCACGGAGTTAAATGGCCCTACGCTAGCTACAACTTATTTATATTCTGTACTCTCCCTGCCCATTCCAAACCTAACGTTCAGAAGCTGTTTATCTGATAAAGCACCTTCTCAACAAAGGTTCTTAATTTATGGAATACACGCCTACTTTTGATGTAATTACAGCACCTTTTAATTTTCCCAAGCTTTTATACCTAATTTTACTGATTTTTCCCACCTCTGTTGTTTTAATGCTGCTCTTAGGGATTTTGCTCTTAGTATGCTTTTATTATAACTGAGATTTTACAAAGCACCATAGAAATATTTTTGAAAGGCAAGCTAATTTATTATTACATCCAGGGGAGGCTCAGGGGAGTATAGAATGATTCCCAGTTTATCTTCCCCAAATCCCTGTGGCGTAATGTAGACTAGTATGAGAGACATACTGCAGTTTTTATGCAGCGCTGACAGATCGGGCAATATTGAGCCTGTTAGGCCTACGAGATGGCCAGCAGCTCAAGATCAATGAATTTCACCTGCAGGCCATCAAACCCACACATCCCATCTAAGCACAATACTTTATATTCCACAGAGTTCATGGAAACCGAATACTGTATAACAGTTCCTCATCTGGAACTACCAGTTCTTCTGTATAATCCTCCCACCATATGCTCCTGCTTTCATCAATTTACTTCTGTAAAGATGGCACAGAACAACCCCTATGGCACACTCTCCAGAAGCTCTGACACATCCCTCGCCATGACACAAGTCCCAGTAATAAGTTGGTGGTTCCCAGAGGCCAGCATCAAATAATGCATCCCAAATATTTTTCTGTAAGGAGGAGGAAGGAAACCTTCATGACATCTCTTCTTGCTTCATTCCACCCCGCTGAATTTCCTCATCCCATACAGAGCCTGACCCACCTTCAATTCCCCCAGACCACATAGGGAGCTAATTCCTCAACTCTTATCTTCAATCCCAATCCCTTCACCAAATACCCCATGTTTGTACACCCAAGAATGCTTTCCAATACAGCGCTGGTTACTGTTTTCCGACTCCCCTCCATCCATCTTCATTCGTACCCAGCCTAGCTCACACCATGCAGCGGCTTCCATACTATTGTGCTTCAAGCACATTTTCTGTATGATCACAAGGCCCCCTGAGACCGCAATGTAGATAAATCAGGAATCATGCTGCTTTAGTCACAAAATGTGGGATTTGGCTTTTGGGTCTTAAGAGTGCATAATCATACTGGTAACTGGGTTCAAGAACCGAACTGGGGTTCCACAAATAAAACTCCCATTAGGTTGGCAAATGACATCAGAAAGCTTGAGTGACCTCAGATCATGTTCCCATAGTCACACTCCACCAAGAGCAGAGTGGCTGTCCTTCATACCCCCTTCTTTTCTACCCCACTACTCTCTGGCCCTCACAAATCCCAACGCTGCCACCACCACCACCACCACCATCCAGTTTGTTCCCCAGGTCAGGTCTTTACTACCCCCCACTCACACCCCACCTCATGATGCCTTTATACAGTACGTACATGTCGACTTTCCGCCTGTTCTTCTTTTCATCCCACACAAGGTTCCCTCACCCCCATGCAAATACACATTAAAAAAGAAACTGGAAGTGGGAGGGGTCCACTGCCAACTTTTTTTAAAAAATGAGGATTTGGGGGCATTAAATGGCTCTAAGTGACGTATATTAGAAAAAGCACCTTTCTTAAAGGCTGCCAGGAGCCTGAATACATCTTTTTCAGTAAATAAAGTAAAAAAGGTGGGGCGGAGGCTAGGTGACTGCTGCAGGTCCACTGAAATAATCTTCAGGGCAGCCCCCAAGGGCTACTATTTGCCCACCTCTGCCCTAGTGAGAGGCCTGGGCTTCTGCCCAAGACACAGCCCCAATGCAAGTTCCATCACACCCCCTTTTCCCCCAACCCCACAGGGATCTTTCAACATGGATGACCAAAATACAGCCCCACACCCCCCACACACAGCTGAGTCAGCTCCTCAGGGGGGACAGCCCTTCCACCGAACCCCACAACAAGCTGTCAACGAACCACTGTAGTGAGAGGCCTGGGCTTCTGCCCAAGACACAGCCCCAATGCAAGTTCCATCACACCCCCTTTTCCCCCAACCCCACAGGGATCTTTCAACATGGATGACCAAAATACAGCCCCACACCCCCCACACACAGCTGAGTCAGCTCCTCAGGGGGGACAGCCCTTCCACCGAACCCCACAACAAGCTGTCAACGAACCACTGTGGGGGGGTCCCCCACAAGCAGCTGAGCC